TGTCAGTCATCTGGCGGGGAGACCAAAACCAGGAATTGTGGTAGCATTGACTAAATGTTGAATAAGGGTGATGGCCTAATGGAAATGCTACAAATCTGAACTAGGACAGTGAAGCAGTTTTGCTTTAGCAGGAGCTGAAATCCCTGAAGATGTATGCATCAGGATAGCGTTTGATTGATTCATGTAGGAGAAATCTCAGGCATGGTTCAGGTTTGAATGCATATGTTGAATGGTGACATTGCAAACTGAAACCTGAGCTTTAGGTTCCATTTCGGGCCAGGAAAACTGCTACTCTGATTTCAGCCTATTGAGTCACCTTCCTACGTGTTTTGCCAAAGTTTCCTTCAGCTAAATGAGAGAAGCCAGGAACTGAGATGAAAGATTGCTAGTTTAAAAATCAAGCCCCCCACCCCCCAAGAAAAAAATCCTTCAGGGGAAACAATCAGCACCTTCATAGTTGATAAGCAGTTATTAAAATTGAGAAAATAATTGTTTGCCTTGTTACCTTTTCAAGTTGAACTGCTGTTTGCCTTGTACATAATTTCTAGGTAATTACAGGTCAGGATGAAGTAATTAGATGATGGAACTTTGAAGAAGAATACTTGCCTTTCTATCATGAATTAAAGGAAGTAGGAAGAAGACATAACTCCTTGGAAGTGAATATTTGGCTTTGTAATCCATTAGTGTGACAGATCATATTTCAGATGTCAAACTTGAATTCTGAATTGCCCCCTTCATGTTTCATCCACTCTTCATTGAGTGTGAAAGCAGCTGAAATTTTGGTTCCCTGAATCATATCTCAGATTCTGAAAGAAGACTGGCGTGGATGCTGTCCTCCATCTTAAAGCAATATTTCATGAACGTGTGTACCCAGCTTTATGCTCTTAGTACACAGAACCCTAGGTAAAAAAAAAAGGGTATCTATGCATTTCATTACGTTCAGGTGTATTTAACTGAGTCTCCTATGCCTTTAGTGGTCACGGTGGGACAGTAGCAATCTTCGTTTGCAAGTCTTCATCTTAGCCTTGAACCTGAAGGAGGAGAAGGGGGCATATAATACAGTCTTGCCTAACTGGCCAGGATTCATAGTCATCTTGAATTTGAAGTGTCATTTATGAAGTACTAATGCATTTCACTGTGTTAGCAGCATGGCTTTTTCTTGCTACTACCCTAGATTCAGCAGGCCTAATTTTCCCTTTCAGCACCTCTGCCTGGTGTTTCCTGTTAGCTAGCGCTCTGCCTTCAGAGGTACCTCTAACCAGTAGGAAACACTGAGCACAGGGGATAAAGTGAAATTAAAAAGAAAGTGAGGACAGGCCACAGTGATCATATCAAATATATTCCTTTTGTCATCTCAGAAATGCTGCCTGACGTACAATGTTTGAACTTGAGCACCTATAAGATGGATGCAAGTCTTTATTTAAAATATCTAATGAGTTCTAGTATATATGATTGAAGTTCTCACTTCAGTTTTATAGTCTCAGAGAAGCTCACTTAGATTAGGTTTTCTTTAATGAGTGCACTTTCAGATTCTACATTTTTATATATAAAATAATTTGTTAATTAAAATGCGTGTCATTGTTGAAAAAGACAATTTGGGCCTCCATATGGAGGAACACAAAAAAACTGTCCTGTGTTTGACACCAGTTAAATACACATTTTAATTCCGTTGTCAACTGCAGAGAGAATTGTCAGAGCTATTTGGAAGTAAAGGAAGTTAAGAAACTGAACTTGAAAAGGCAGGAAGGTTTTCTGGAATCAAAATTTGGTTGGAGAATGAGATCTGCCAACTTTAAGCTTTGTTTAACTGGGCCAGGCTTTACAGTTAGATGTCTGCAATATAGGTGGTGTTCAAAACTTGCCTGGTTTGCACCGCCTTAATATTTCATGGCTTCTTTCAAGTGCTGAAATGCTATAAAAACTGTTTTGAACACAATATGTTTGTTCATCAGACATATTTTTGTGGCTTTATTGAGCAAAACTGTAAATGCCAGAAGTAACTTGGTGCATTTAAACAACTTTTCTTACTCTCCTGATTGTTGTTGTTTTTTTTAAAAAAAAGACAATTCAATTTGGCATTCAGATTTTCATTTAAAATCAGTCATAAGTATTTGCAAGCTTGCATTTCAGTTCACAGTGAAGTAGTTTTGTTTAAAGGCATAGATTTTATGCCACTGTATGTTAATAAAAATGTCTACTCAGTCTTTGCTGCTGCAAAAATGTGCCTGCTTAATTTGAAGCATTACTAGTCTGATCATTGATGTGAGAAGTCATTGGACAGTTTGGTGCTGTGTTAAACTTGTGTTTCTTGACTGTCAATCTCCATTTTACAAATGGTGGAGATCGGGAAGTATGAGATGAGTCATTCTCGGTCATCTTGCCTGCTAGCAGCACGGTACTGAGTACAGCTGGTAGTCCGGTTCTCTGTGCTGAGCAATAGTGCCTTAAATCTGGTAAGTTAAGCTAAATAGAGGAATACCATTTACCAAACCAGGTTATGTACATGCTCAAGTGTTCAGTCAGAACTTCAGATTTCAGGCTTTTTTGTCCTGGTGGCTGTTTGCAATGTAGACAGTGTATTGTCATGTTTAAATAATCCCCTCCTCCATCCCACTTTGCTTAGTTTTATACCTTTACCTGAATTTATAGTAATAAAGACTGTCAAAATGGTTTTGTCGGGACGGGGATCTCCCAATGTATCTGTCAGTGGCATTTCTTGAGATTTTTGATTTTCAGAGATTTTTAAGATGACACGTTAAAAGTGTTGCCAAATTAGAAGTAGATGAAATTCCTGTAATATCAATGAGACTTCTGTGCTTACAATTCAGTGTAATTTGGAATAGAATCCTGTATCCTTGGTGCCCAGGTCTGAATTTCCTGTGTCAGTTGTTACTGTTTTCCCAGAGTCAGTACCTGATTTCTCCGCTTCCCTTCCCTGTCCTGTGTTGTGTGTGTCCCCCCGCCCCCCTTATGTTGTTTTTGCTCCTTCTCTGCTGGCTGGTAGTGTAACATTTTCTCTGAATTATTTCCTGTTTAATTTGCAGGGGTTGTTAGGGCTGGAGGAAACCTGGCTGATGGTGGTTGTTTTAACTCTTGGAGTTTTATCCATTGACCAGAGCCTGTTTAGTTTTTTTTTTTCTTAATGATTTTGGTGGTTAATGTGGTTTGAGATTGTTTCTGCAAAAAGATAATATAAAGGAGAGCTGTAGAGAAGATTTGTATCAAAGTTGTTACACCAGAAATCTGGCTGATGTTTTTGCAGCTCAAACAGAATTTGGAAAGTATGCCCAAGACGAAGTAATTGTAGTGAAGGATGCATGTGATCTGTTACATTCTTCAGTTAATGTAAATACAGTGTGAATGTTTGCAGTCACATTTCTCATAGTGTAGACATGCTTTAGGACAGATGTTATCTTATGAGCTAATTTGGTTCCCACTCAAAATTACGCAGTATCGCTTTAGCTAGAATAGCACGTGATTCTGAGGAAAAGTATTGTTTTAGCACCATAATGCTGTTGAGTAAAAATATTGCAGGGCCATTCCTTGACTGATGCAGTATGTATGCACGTGACAAATTCTACTTGGGATTCTATTTAATTTTGGAAGCCTGACTGCATTTTGGTTTAACCTGATTTATGTATTTCTGTACCATGCTGGACTTCTCCAGTATGTATCTTGTCCTACAAAAAGTATGAATCCTCCAGCCACCCTTGAGTACTTTTTTTCCTCGCTTTCTCGTAGTTTCCTTCTCTTCATTTTCCTACTGTGCTTCTTTATTATGTCTTCTGCATTTGCGGCTTCTTTACACCAAGTTATTGATCCCCCTTTAGGAAGCTGAAAATTGTACAAGCACTGTAGGCATGGGACTGAAAAGGTATAAACAAACTGCAAGGCCTTCATCAATGGACAAAATCCAAACAAGAAGCTCCTTTGCTGAAAATGCTGGTATTCCTGTTGACTGGAAACAGTTTCCTCTCTTTTCACGAGTTGGAAGCTCCCAGGCTGACTTACGGAATTGAAGAACCACCACAATAATTAAACCCCTGAACTAGGAATTGGCAAATGTTTGCTCCTGCTTAGCCTAGCATAGGCTTCAGCCACTTAACGAATAAGCTGGTAGCTGAAGTTACTTGCTTCACATGGTTGCTTACTAGAAAATGTTCAAATAAGGAACCTCAGCAGCCTACTGTTTACAAACCTGAAAATTAGTTGAGACCTTTTCATGGTATTGCATTGGCAAAATGCCAAACAGAAGTAGGAAGGTACTGAGTGAGTGGAATCCTTTGCAGCTCTGGCATGATCACATTGATTTCTATGTATCCGAGTTTTGGAAAGCTGTCTTTGCCAAAAGTCTAGCAGCCTCAGTGGAAGACGACTGTAGGGAATTTTTTTAAATGCGTTTGAGCATTTGAAAGTAAGAATTGTCATGAAGAGGGAGTCCTTGGAGGTCTCTTTCTGTGCCAGTCTCCTGTAAAAAATAGAAAATGGTGTTTTGTTTTCTTTTGTTTTCTTTAATATTTTACATTGCCAGAGGACGTGCAGTTAGGGCACTGATGTACCTGAGAGCCTTTTGGTACATGGAATTTCAGAGAGAAGGCACACAGGATTGATGGTTTTATTGCAAGGATTACTTTTTTCCTTGTAATTCTGCCATGGAGATGAGATTATTAAAAGCACTTGCTGTATTTCGTTCAGTGCAATCAAATTCTGAACTATATATTGCCATATTCCTTTAAAAGAGACTATTGATCCGCCCATTGTGTGTGTTTGGCTAGATCTGAGGCTGCCAAAAATGTGGAAGGGTTTTTGTATTTTGTCGGATTCCAATTCTTTGAGATTTTAAGCAATAGTTGCTTTATGCATATTCTAAATTGTGTTTTCCTCTCCTCTTTGCTGCCTATATGCCAGTAACTATACAGAGAGGAATGGTATTTCACGTACATGTTTTATTCTGGGGTCTTTTGTTACACGTAACTGTATAAACGCTGTCTGGGGGAAGAAAGATAATTGCAAATTAAATGTATGAAGGGAGGATGATGAATACCAGTAGTAGTTCTATAGCCTAATTTTTATACATGTATATTATATAGTTGATAGTTCCTAAATTTTAAGCTTACGCTGTTTATTTTTGTTAGCAGTACTCTGGCACCAATACCTGACCTTAACTAACAACATTTTTGCTAGTGTTCTCCTGGTGAAAACAGGCCGGAGTTACCTTTCTTTTAGTTAGTTTCATTGTATGTGTCTTAGGTAAAACATGCTGGTTTTTGCAGGCCATGTTTTAAGAGTTTAGCTTTTATCATCTGTTAATTAGCTACGGTGTTTGGTGTTTGAGTGGAAATAAAGTTAAATACTGAAACGTAATTATTTTGGGCTTAATTTTCTTATTGTTTTTCTTTTAGAACAAATTCTGTACAACATAAAACAGGAGTACAAACGCATGCAGAAGAGGAGACACTTAGAAAATAGCTTCCAGCAGACAGATCCTTGTTGTTCTACTGATGCACAGCCACATGCATTTCTTCTTACTGGACCAGCTTTGCCAGGTAACCAGAAAATTCTGTGTAATTCTGCTATGTGTTCTTAGACTCTGTTTGCGTAAATAGTTTTCCCTAGTTATCTGGTGGTTTATGGCACCTTCTCACCAGTCACTGTTGCTTTTTTTGGCAATGCTAGCATTGGTCTGGAAGGTTGTAGCTTCTCATTTTAAGAATCAGTAGGACACAAAGCTTGCATTGTTTTTGAGAGACCATCCTGCATACCCTGCCACTGATATTGTAATAGGCTTTTGCAAAGCATCTGTCTTTGCAAAAATATACTGTGCTGTAATTTTTACATAAAATAGAAGCTTAAATTTGTAAATGGCAGCTGCCATGGAAATGGTGTTCACAGTGTTTGTGTAACAGTCTTGGTGTTTTGATACCCGTGCGTGTTGCCCATTGTAGATGTCTTCCTTTTGAGTGTCCAGTTTTACTTTAGTAGTAATTAAAGTGTTCAAATGGCAGAGGAAGACTTCTCCAAATGTTCCGTAAAGTTCTTTTAATGTAAAAGACGTGAAGACAGTTGATAATAAAAATGGTTCTGAATTACTTGTAAGTGTAAATTGGTATGCCCAAATATTTAATCTTAGGTACTTCATCTGCAGCATCATCACCATTGAAAAAAGAACAGCCGCTGTTTACTCTCAGACAAGTTGGAATGATCTGTGAACGTTTGCTGAAAGAACGTGAAGAGAAAATCCGTGAAGAGTATGAAGAAATTTTGACCACAAAACTTGCAGGTATATTATAGTTCAAAATAATGTGTTAGGATGAGTTTGAAAGCTTAAAACTTTTTCTCATTTTTGTGTTACGCTGTTTTTTCTGACCTAATCTGATTAAGGAATGAGATTCCATACAGCACAGATAAAATGATGTGTAGTCTCTTTGATAGGATTTTTTCTTCTATGCTGCCTTGAATAGAAACTGACTCCTGGATATTACTAATCAATGGAAACAGTGGTTTTATTTCAGATAGAACTTTCTCTTGCTATCATGTTTGAATTGATAACTTCCTCCTCATTTTTTTGCCAGAAAGACTTTCTATTCTACTGGCTTAAGAGCTCTTTGTGAAGGACTTTTACTTCCCCCCCCTTCTGGAATTTGGCAAGATGACAGTACCTAAGATTTCCCTTTCTCTTCCCAGTACTTACCATTACTCTGCTGCCAGCGGTGTTTGGTATCTGCCTGAGCGTCAGGGGTTTAGCTGCATTTCTGATGCTCTGTGTTGAATTGTTGTATTTCACATCATTCGGCTGATACTTTTGGCACCTGATGTCACCTTACTTTTTCATAAGGATCATGTTAGTGTCAGCATTGTAAATAAGACCTTTCTTTAGTTGTTGACTAAGCATCTTGCTAGCATGTGAGCACCTAAATTCTGTTGCATTCAGAGGTAGGTGCCTTCGCAGTATGATTCAGTGTCTAATTTAATATTTAGTGTGATGATAATGAACATCTGAGTGCACTCTTCGGCAGCAAACCGGCTTTTGAATACCCACGGCTGTTCTGCTTCCCACCTGAAAACACATCAGAATTATAGTTTGCAAATCTTTTCAAGTGTGGGATTAAAAGCTTCTGCAGGCATGCCCATGCCGAAAGTCACCAGACTTGTGTCAGGCTTGTGGTTTGCCTGTGACGGTGTTGTCTCTGCACCTGAGCCTCTGTTCATGTTCTGTGCTTGCTGATCTGCCATTGCTGTGTAAGAAATGACTGTAGTTCTAAGTCCTTCTTAAATGTACCTCTGTTTACAACTGTAACTAGAGCCCTAAATACTTCTGTTGCTTTGGGCCTAATCTTCCATTTCTGCATTTTTCTTTTTAACCTGCTTCAGACTGATGAATTAGGACTCTGTAGAGCTTTTTTTTTTTTCTTCTAATTTATGTATGTTAGGAATCGGGTCATTTCTTGCATTCTCTTAAATGCGTTTCTGTTAGCAGTGATCATCATAACCATTTGAAGACCAGATATATTTACATTTGTTCCAGACACTTTCTGAGTACAAACTTGTAGTTCTTTACAGCAGGAACCCCTCTGGCAACATGTGCTTCATCTCTCAGACCCAAAGGGAACGTTTTTGGGTTTGTTTTTGGGAAGGGAGGGGGATGGTTTCTGTTTGGAGGGTTGTGGTTTACAGCGAGATGCGTTAGGTTTACTTGTTACGATGGTGGTCACCAAAAGAGCTATTAGAAAGATCATGTTACTGCATCCCGTGTATCAAGCCAATAATAAATTTTCAGCATTATATGGGAATTTAGAAACAGAGTCTGCCAAAAGAATTTAGGAATTCCTTACATAGAAGGCTAGTTATGTTTTTCTGCTGACAGAATGATTGTATCTTTTTCTAAACTTTGTGCAGTAAGGTGATACTCAGTCTTACAAACTAGTGAAGTCAATGGAAATGTAACTGGAAATTCTGTAATAAATCTCAATTGAATAGCTTCTTTGAAGTGACTTGACTTGAATGTTTGGATCTCAGATATTTTCCTCATTCCTTTTTGAATCACGGTTTTCTTTTAGGTAGGTAGCCAGATAGTGCCTTTTTTTTCCTCTCCCATGTTCTTTGTGAGCAGAGTTGCCTTTCATGCAGAGTGAGTGTTTGATAAATGGAAAACTCAGATCACTGCAATGCCCTGATTTCCCCTCCTGCCTCTGTTACCTGAAGCCGCTGTGTTAGCATAAACTTGGGTTTGCAAGATCCTTTGCAGGTTTTAAAACCAGAGGAGGAGTGTAAGGGGCTAAGGGAAACTTTAGGTTGAAAGAATCTGTGAAGAACAGCTTTTTATACTAAAGGTCAAGTCGTAGAGTATAGTAGTGATATTTGTATTTGTGGCATTTAGCCACCTTTTGACTTAAAATAGATACTTAGAACATAAATGATATGGGATGCCAGTGGTATAAGTATCTTTACAAGCGTTCGCTTAAATATTCAAAACAGTTCACTGTAGGTTGCTCTTACCTTTGGATTGCTTAACTTTCCCAATCTGAATGCCACAAGAAAGGGGATTTTTAGTAAAATGGATCCTTTATATTTCCAAAGCCGTAATTTTAACAAAGATGATGCTACAAAGCAGCTGTGTATGTTGACTTAAAGCTTTAAAGAAGAAAGCTTGCAAGTTGGTTTCTGGCCTTTAATACATACTTTTAGGAAAAGTTCTGGTTGCTGTTATTTTTGGAAATGGTTTCTGGGCAACAGATCCTTCAATCTGCTCTTTGTGTTATTTTGTTGTTTGGCTAAGATCCTGGCATGGCTGCTGAAAAGCCATCAGTCAGAACTGCAGTGAAACAGAGGTCCTGCTTGTGGGCAGAGGGGAGCTGGCTGCCGTGACCCTGGGCCCCTTCAGTCAGGGATGAATGTCCGTAGATCGCTGGGTCAGGTCCGTGCTTTGGGCTGCTGCTGCACTACTTGCTGATTACTGATACCCTGTTTACTTCAAAGGTGAAGCTCATCCCTGCAAGAGGATGGGGACTTTAATGGGGCAAACCTGTGGGACTAGGAACCACTACAAATCTAACTGCATTTTTGGTTGAAGATTGCCTTCTTTGACCTTGCCCTTTTCTCAGAACACCCCACATTGCTGCACATGTATTTTTCCACAAGGGAGGAAGGGGAATGGAGAGGAGCGGCATCTGGTAGATATTACTCTCCTTGTTCAATTTCCTAATTCTGAAAGGTGATATCCTGCTGATGAGTGCAATATTAAAACTGAATAAAATATTGCGAATGTATTTGTATGTATGTGTGTATAGAAAGAGTAATCTTTCTGGAAAATAACAATGCTTAGTTCAAAGCCAAATCAGTCCGTTTGATATCTAAATTTCATTTCAGATTGCACAGTAGCTGTTTTCATGAAGTCCACAGTCAACTATATGTCTCCTATTGTGGCTACTTTTGTGACTGGAATTAGTCAAGTGTTAGTCACGTAGCATTTCATCCTTTTAGTTTGTCATTTGCTTTTGATTTTCTGGTGGTCACCAAAAAGAATTTCTAACTCCGTAGCAAGTCCCTTTCCTGTACTTCTGTGTTTCCATTTCATTAAATTAATTTTCTTACATCTGGTAGTGATAGGAGCAGAGAGAAGTTATGTTTCCAACCCTAGCACTGACCTTAATGCCGTGTTTGCTTAACTACTCTGCCCCCCTTATGGATCTGTGAAATGGGCACATTCGATTACTTCAAAATACAGTGTCTGACGCTTAGCCAGGTGTTAGGTGTATTGAGGTCTTTGTGTACGTGCAGCATAATTCTCTTTGAGCATATTACTGTCTTTCCCATTACAGAATTTTGTAAGGGAAAGTCTTTTAATTAAGGGGACGTGCTGCATTGTTGTTCTCGGGGATGAAAAGGAAATGGCAGCTATGAACTGTGTAAAGTCACTTAAAACTACTGTTAGTGGATGTGTGTTTAATTTATATGATTTGTACGTATAAAAAAGTAGCCTTGAATATTCTTCAGCTTGAGTTAATCTCAGTATACTCACACTTCTAATGCTTCATGCTTGCAGAACAATACGACGCATTTGTGAAGTTCACGCATGATCAAATCATGCGACGATATGGAGAACAGCCTGCCAGTTGTGAGTATCCATTCTGGTTCCTATAGTAGCATTAAATTACTGAATGTTCAATAATTTAAGCGGCCATTGTTTGTTGTTAAGCTTCAGCTAGGCCCCAAGTTAAAGTACTTTAAATTGGTAATATGGAAGACCGAGGTTGAAAGGAAGGTGTGAGATAAAATGCAGCTTTTGTTTAAAACATCTAGATCTCCCATAACATGCTGGTTTTTTTTATTTTTGAAGCAGGTTTTCATATTGCCATAACAGGTTTGTGATAGAGCTGGCATTTGTTAACTCTATCTTTAACTCTTGACTTTTTTTTTTCTCTTTCCAGACGTTTCATGAATCACACTTTCTGCATATGTGGGCTGCCCTATACACCCTGTTTTATTGTTGCAAGCTGTCCCAGTAAAGACTTGCAGCAATGCCATATTTTTTCCCCCTGTGAACACAGGTTATTTCAAGCTTTTGTCAGTGGCAACCACTCTTATGCAGCAACTGGTTTTGGAGTGCTCCCTGATGTCAGTACCACCTGGATGTGGACCTTTGCTACCTGTAATAATACCAGTGGCCTCATTTGCTGTATCATTACAATTTGGCTTCTTATGTTAATAAGTTTGAAAAAGTAAAGGATTAAAGCTGGTGTTCTAGAAGTTGCCCTTCACTGGTTGTGTAAATAAAAATGTAGAATGACACTTCTGACTGAAGTTAGTGTGGTTTTCATAACTGTGCACTACAACAAAGCTGTAATCACAGTTAAGTTAGAATGTAATCCCAGGACAATTTTAAGCAAATAGCCCACAGTACTGCCTGTGAAATAGTGAAGGAGGGCATTTCTGTATTCCATGACTTTTTTGGGGGTTAAGAATGGGTTTATATGATTTCTCATTTTTGTAGTTTTTATTTATTCTATCAGTCTTTAACAAATGTTTATTGCTGCAATTTTTCAGTGTATCATTGTTTTACTGCCCTTGTAGTACTGGAATTTAGTTGGAAGAATAAAACATTTACTTCTAATCTGTTTGTTTTTAATATGCAGGTGGAACTTTTGCTGTGTATGAATAAACTTAAATCTGAGTGTTTAAATGAAAACTTTATTTACTAGCAAGAGTGGATGGGTCAGAATTTTAGATCAGGAGAAGGAGGTGGATGAAAATCTTGGGTAATTCTTCAGAGGCGAAGAAATCTTCCTTAGATTGGCTGTGTTGTTTCCTGTTGTGGAAGCGTGTTTGTTACAGAACTGCTAAGAAACTATTGATTTAACTTGCTGTGGCTGACTCAAAGAGCTGTGCTCATCTTCCTTCAGATTTAAATGATGCATCAAAGGAAATTGGTTCATAAGATAAGAGCAGGCACTTGCACCACGAGCTGGAACTATGTAGGTATTGGAAAAGCTAAAGGTGTGTAATCTTTGTGTTCAGGGTCGAGGAGTTTGTTGTTGGAGCGTTCGGCTGTTTCCAGACTGCTGGATCAGTGCTGGCTGCTGCTGGCTGTGCAATTCTGAGTCGCGGTGTGGATTATTGAAAAGTTACTACATGGCAAGTCCCGGTCTGTGTGCTGTGGGGTAGAAGTATTGCTTACCAAATGACTCGGGTTATCCGCTTTGGGGACTTAAAGGATTACTTTGAAACTACTTTAGATTATAAACTGTTGTCTTCTCTAACTTACTGTCAGCTTCTGGTTAAGTAGAAGTCTGTTGTGTAATAGATCTTTGTACAACTTCAAATCAACAGGAGAGTTTTAGTTGAAATGTAATTGAAACTTCAGCTGGTAGATACATGCATTAATTGGCTCATGCTTGATACTCATGGTTTCAGAGAAGCCATGTGATGAGCTCTAGTTCTTAGTGAACTTCTATTCACTTCGTAGTGAGATTATAGGTTCAGAATTAGGCACATGACAGTATCAGAGTATTTTCTGCTCACTTGTCTGAAACCTGTCTTACCCAAATATTTGGATTTTTTTTTTTACTATATTTTCAGAATCTCAGAAACGGGAAATCACTGCTAGACTCCCCTCCTGGGTCTTCTGTTACTGAAGATAAAACTATCAAGGGCTGTAATTTCTGTTGTCTGCCTCAGGGCGCTCAGTCCCTCTCCTTCCTGCTCCTCGTTTTTTGACCTCCTTTTACTGTTAACGTGCTCAGGGTAGGAAAACCACTGCTTCTCGGTGGACCACTACCCAAATTCCAGCTTCCCGATACATTTCCTGCGCCTTCTGTGTTCTAGCAGATCCTTGTTCTGACTTGATAGAAATGTGTCTATGCCTAACTGATAACTTGAGATAGGAGTAGAATTAAGATACCAGCCATTGTGATTGTCTCTGCGCCTCAGCTTATCTTTTCTTTTGGGATATTAAGGGTTATTATAAATAAGAAGTGATGTCATGTTAGCACCCAGCCACTCCTGTGCTGCTCCAAATTAATGAATAATAAGCAGTCTTCTGGCAGATGAACTGTAATGCCACCATGGGTGCTTATGCATCACAGCTATGGTATGCTTAATTTGTGCCTGTTTTGAAAACACGGTTGCATTCTTTGAAACTTTTCATTTTTTTAACCTGCTGCTTGTTCTCTCTTGGACTTCAGACTGGCTCCTTTTCCTAGTCTCAGTGCCGATATCTGGTGTGATGAATTTCACATGAAAGGCTTGTTCTAACAGGTGACATGCTTTAGCAGGAAAATGGTTGGCTGCTTGATTACTGTTGAAAGAAATTAGGAAAATTGGGGTGCTGTGAGGAGCAGGCTGGTGCTTAAAAACAAACCTGCTTTGGAGAGCCTTTTCCAGGGCTTTTGAGTCAAGTACAAACGGGTAGGATTCAATAACTACTGAGTTCTTGGACCTATGTTTTGTGGTGGCCACATTTAGAATATTTTTGCAATTTGTACGTAACTGCAGTCTATCCGAAAGCAAAGGAAGCTGAGGACAGTTAATTGCAACTTAACAGTGAAACCAAAGATCTTGATTAACCTATTTTTAAGGCAGTGATGTGCAAATTCTTTTCAAGCAGAGCTCGGTTACTGTATACTTAAAAAGCAGCACGTACATCCTGACTGCATGTTGATTTTTGTGTCTAGATATGAAAGCATGTAACCATAAGATTATTCAGCATTTTTCAAGGTCAAAAAGGAAGGAGATTCGCGCAATCTTGTGCGCTGATGCTTGAGATTTGCCTGTGTACTCTTGAGCAGCAAGATCATTAGCAGATTCTGGTTAGAAACTGTGTTTTATGAAAGCTCTCTGAGAATTGAGAAGGATTTAGCTCTCTGATTCCACAGTGGGGAGGGAGAAACTGAGGCTGGTAAAGTATTAAAGAGTTTATGCTCTTGCTGTGAACCAGTGCTCGTGACCTTTGTATCGGAAACAGTTCTCTGAGATGAAAAATGTGAGGATGAATGTGTGGCTTTTACAGGCACCTGGCTTATTCTTGTATTCTTATATTTTACTGCTGTTGTAGGCTCCAAGATAAAAGAAAAAATACCAAGTTTGTGTTTGAAAACAATAGTGCAGTAGTGTAAAGAGGTGTCAAAGAGCAGCATCTGTAACAGTAGAGAAAAATGGTAAACTATTCAAGCGAGTTCACTTACTTTCAGGCCTGATTTTTGGTAGTAGTTTTGCTGAAAGCTGTGGCTATTAAATGCAATACAGTTATCAGCTCAGAGGTGAGGCTTTACATCGTTATGGTTTCAGAGCTAGTACCACAATACAAACACTGGCACTTTTTTTTCCTGTCCTGTTTGCTTTCAATGCACACTGCAAGCAGAGGTGGTTTCCTGGAGTATCTGCAGAACACGTTATTACTATGCAGACAGTTGTAGAAACTAACATTTTAAAATTACATATATATTTGCAGTTGAAATCTCCTGTGTGTGTATTTCAGCTGAGGTATGTGAGGGTGAGTTTGGAATATTTATAACAGAAAGTAGTAAAATAAACGATACGAGAGGAGCCAAGTGTAAAATTCATACTGTATAGCCAGGTTATCTGCAAACAGAAAGCCTGGTGTTCTTAGACCCCTAGCACCAGAATTTCATTAAAGGAGGAGAAGCACAAGGTGCTTTTTCATAGCTGTAGTGTCTCTGCTGTTACTGGTGTTGGTTCAGAATTTAGCGATGTTAAGCTCCTTGCAGGCAGCTAGGACTCTTGACTACAAAGTCCAGCCTCTGAAGACAGGCAAACTAAATGCAATTTATGACTGGTTTTGTTTAGTTTGTGTTTTTAACTGTCCAACCTTCCTGCGCTCCTTGCGGAAGAAAATGAAATTACACAGTACTTGCTACATAATTTTAGTCAAGTATTTGCCCTTTATACATCCCACAGGCTGAAGTGCCACGTGCTGAATTAAGGATTTGATCCTGAGACACCATATGTAGCATAGCAAACATGTGACTTTAAACTTCAAAATTGATGTTATTAGTTAAAGGGAAGAAACGGCCATTAACGATTAACTTTTCTGTTTTAATGTCATGTTGCCTGCACATTTGGGGATTAAAAGCCACACTGTTGGGGCTTGCTTCTCTTTATTTCCAAATATTTTACCCTCAGAAGGTGTGGAAGTTAGATGGTGTGGGCTTACCTTGCGTTGGGTGAGGCGGGGGGAGGCTGCAGGCCGGCGGCGGAGGACAGCTGCCCGGAGCACTTGGCTCCACGTCCCCTTGCGGATCGATCGGTGAGATGTTTGGTGCTTAGCTGTTCTGCTGCTCCCTTCCATTTGTCAGGTGTGTTTGCAAGATAAATAGGCGAGGCTCAGGACAGAGGAGGGCCATTTAGCATTCCCCTCCTACGGAAATGTCTCACTTTGCTCTCTGCTGCTTAAAAGCCGTACATTGTACTACGATACAGGTGCCCTAGGTTGCTCTCTGGAGTGAAGAACAGCGGAATTTGTTTACCCCTGTGTCTTGGTGGGAGAGAGGAGCTTGTGCAACTGCTCCACTGAGATCCTAAAAATTCTTGCTCTGAGCTTTCATCATTACATTTCCCAAGTTGTATGTTTAGGCAGTATAAAGGCTGATAAACTACTCGTCCTCCTCAGCCTCTTGATTTGCCTGGCAACATCCAGAACCAGGCCCTCCCCTAAGAACAGCGGGAAGCATTATTGTCTCTGCAATTAGAGCAGTTGGGAAATACGTGACTCCTACCCTCTCTGAGGGTATTTAAAACAAGCCTAACCTATCTTGTATACATTCCTGGGTAAACAGCCTGGAAAGTTAACAGGTTCTCGTAACAAGACTTCCCCCCTCACAGTACAGATCTGCTTTATGCAAGTGATGCAATCTTCAGTGCTCCAGGCTATCCTTTTCAGTTGTTTTGAGTAGGCTGAAGTGCCAGTGCAACTAAGTGGGAGCATCTGGATTCTAGCATGGCTGAACAGATGCACTTAAGAGTAGCACTTGAATGCTTCAAATAGAAGGAAAGCGAAGTCTGTAGTCCTCTCGCACTCAGCTGAGGAGGTCTGGGAGGTTTTTGGGGGTAAATACAGTCTTTTACAATAAACTTAAGTAATCATCATTCCATTTTTAAGTAGGCTGGGAGGGACAAAGTCTGAACACTTTAACTGTGCCCTTTCCTAGGTGATATGACTGACCTGAAGTCTCCACCCATACTGCCGAAATGCACGTGTCGCAGCCCTGGGGGCGGTTTACACGGTGCTGGACGGAAACACTGCTTTTCCCCTTTTGGAAAACATGGGACACTGACATCAGCATAAACACGTTTGCTCCCCAGACTGTCTCAGGGAAGGTGAAGCTTAATGCAGAAAGATCTGCAGTGTGGCTTTCGAGTGCCAAAGAAAACAGATTGGGCTGGTTAGGACATACCCATGGTACTCTGATACCTGGAATCAGGTGTAGGTTTTTCTTAACAACCTCAGCTTCCTTGGGGACCAGAACTCCAGCAATGACTGTGGTTTTTTCCAGCTTTCTGGCACAGTATTTTTTTTTTTGTGGCTTTTGTTCCAGTATCAGGCACTGATCTGTGACTGACTCTAGGCAAAGACTAGCAGCTCTTTGGTCTATCCTG